AAGTGAGGCCTATAGAGATGTAGCTCTTGGGCTTTTCCATTTTCTCTGAGCATTGCATATTACCTAACCTTTGGGAGAATTTTCTGGGACTTCCAATCCTGGGAACGACTGGCAACTATGTTGGACATTTTCCACTTTTGAATAATCTTTCTCACTGTAGGCTTTAATATTCAGAAATAACCTTATAGCTCTCCCCTGGTTGATGCGCAGCACAACTGCTTATCTAAAATCATGGCTGATGTTCTTACTTCCTCCTAAACACATAATAACAGTGTAATATGTCATATTTTGTTGTTTATCTGAGGTTATAGTAACTTAATTTTAAGACCTGCTGAGGACCAGATTTGTTTTTGTTATGTCCTGATATGTAAAACTTTAGAATTGACAGAGGTTGTGCTTTCTTTGTTCTTTCTTTGTTCCATAACTGTAGCTCTCCTGCGACTGCCTGCACTCTGAACAATAATTAAAGAGTTTCAATTGAGTCTAATTCTTTAGATAATGAATTCCAGGCAAACTGGATTCCAGGTTTTACAATGCAAACCAAAGTGACTTCCTGTGAAATGACTGCAATGGTAATAAAAGGAGAAGCTTTCAGTTCTCTCCAGGTTATGCTTGAAAAGCATAAACAACTGTCCTGGAATTAGAGACATGTGACAGATAAAGGTGAAAAGACTATTTTGACATTTTGTGATATGCTTACTGATTTCCTTGACTAAATCTGAGATAACTGAGAACTCTTTCATGACTATACATTAAATATTTATGTGAAGCTTTTCTTCTCTTCTTGCAATTTCCACAAATTCAAATTTTAGTAGAATGTCATCCATATTCGCCAACACCAGTCAGATAGTAATAAAAAGGAAAAGTGACATTAAGCCTGTTCAGCCTGTTGTGTGGGGGGAAAGCAGACTGGAGTATCTCGGTCATGCATGTTCTCCATAAACTCTCTGTGTGCCTCAAGTTATAATAACGTACTCTGGGATGTAATATATTAGGATGCACACATTAGGATATTAAGCTTTAATTAGGCTTGCTTGACGGCTCAGCCAACTCACAGCAAGAAAGCAAATATACATACATGCCCAACTGCTCCTTTAAATGAGATTAGCTGCACGCTATAGCACAGTGGGGTCAGGATGCTACCTGAGCTTATAGAAATGTTTAATGTTTATCGATGGGCAGCATTGTCACTTCACGGGAACTGCAGATGCCTTTGTTGTGGCCTGTAACTTTGTGGAACAAAATATGTTCTCCTATGAAGACACATTTTGCATTTTGAGTGTCACAGGCTGTATTTTTACGGACACTTCCTGCATTCAGTAGTGCTTTTGTATACTTTATCTGCTTTAGTCTGTACTTGGCTAACCTGTTTTTGCAACCTCATAATTCTTTCTTTGCCTAAAGGAAAGTGCAGGATAAAAATGTGCAGCATGCACACACAGGCAAAGGAACACCACCTCACACACACGCACCAGGAACGAAGACCAGGCTTGAAAAAAATTGATCTGCGTTGAGACACTCCTTCCTGTTTCGCTGGAACATTAAGCTACAGGTGGCCACGTGAAAACTCCAAAAACAAAAACAAAAAACAAGTTAATGGCTCACTTTTTGCTGTAGCCTTGCCGCTGCTTCCAGTAACAAACACAGGTAGAAGTCACAGGTGTGAACACATCCTTTTCAACTCTTTACCAGCTGATTTTCCTGTACCAGCGACACAGAGCGAATCATCCGTGGAAACCGTGGAAACTTAAAGTTCAGATGAAAGCTGTTGGTGATGACTGTGAAAATTAGTCAGCAGTTTTCACACTCCACAAGCCAGTTCAGATTTTTGTGTCTGTGGCATTTTCAAAACAGTTGCTTTAGTAAAATAACATTTGCTTGACAATCTGGAGGAAGCAGCAAGCGTGAAGTGTGTTTCCAAATTAGTGAAGTGAAATTTTGTTTTAAAAAAATTAAAGAAAACGTGAGCATAGAGTGGGCCTGCTGCTGAAGTGAAAGCCTCTTTCTTTCAGGGTAAATTAGTCAATATTTAGGAAAAGATGGTGGGTGCATCATTGAACAGCCTCAACAATTATCAGTCTAAATATAAAATATGGCAAAGCACGTGTTAAAAACAAATGAAACAAAAGCACGATGAGCGGCGCGTGTTAGTTCACACTGCTGCTGTCTGGTGGATCATTATGCACGGGTTTGCCTCCGGTAGCCGTTGTAAATTACCTCAGCAGGAAATAAAACCATTTCCGGCTTGAGTTGTCAAAATAAGATCGAAGCGTCTGCTGAATAACCTAATCTCTTTGGTTGACAGTGAACAAAAAATGAGCCTAAAAAAGAAACTGTCTTTGCTGACTTTTCAATACAGACAATTATTAATTATTAGTCAACTATTAACTTAAAAATGAAAAAAGTCAAATCAATTTCGGATCCATTTCTCCCTACATTATAAAATAATTAACACGTGTTTCTTATTTCTAATGACTGAATAACACATCCCACATTATATGATAGCTTTTCTATTAGAATGGCACTGAGAGCCTGAGAGCTTACAGTGCTTACTATTGCTGAAGCTGCTCCAGTAGATCCATGAAGGGGCACAGCTGGACCTCCATCACTTCAACATATATGCTTCAAGTACATAAAGAAAACAGACTCTGGTGGGGGCTGCATTGCATGAGTTTGTACTCAACAACAGCCCTTTCACGACTGAACACGCTTGCAGGCGGGATATAGGAAGTTTGTGAGTTTATGAGGTGTAATTTATTTTATTTTGAAAAGCGGCCTTATACAGCTCCAGCATCCTCGCTCGCAGCAGTGAATTGATGCGGCTGTGCTGCGTGAAAGCCCAGCAGTTGCTTTGACGAGTCATCGCTGGAGAAGATCCCAGAGCAGACGGATCCGCTGTCTGATGGCTTGAAAACGGGGAATCACTGTGGACCGCAGCGGATTTATAGCATCGTACGAGCCCGGAGGAGCGACGCGGAGGCGGCACGAGCGGACCGGGTGCCGACACGGGTCGGGATACATTACCTTTAAGTGAGGCTGTTATCGTTTTTTTTGTTTTTGGAAGCCTTACACAGACAACACGGAGAGAAAAGTAGTACCACAGCCTCCGCGACAGCAGCGGGCGAACTTGTCATCTCTGTCCTGTGGGAGGTGTCTGTCTGTCGGCTTGGGGCTCTCTGCACGCACCGCTCGTCTCGTCACTGATTTGACATTTTTAATTTGAGGGATATTTGTTGTGTTTTGTACAAATCGCTCTTATTTAGTGTTTTCCCTCAACCAACTGTGGCTTTAATGTGACGCACCACACTGACACTTGTGCTGTGTGTAGAGCAGACCCTCTGCAGAGGAGTAAAAGGCTCCCTAATCAAGTTTTTTTCCCCCCCTTCACATTTCTGCGGCAACAGCACAGACCACACCGATGTCATAGGTAATGCTTCGCCTTTGTTTTTGCATCGCAATGCTTTCTGCCGAGTCGTTGCTCGCGTCTTTGTTTTTGCCTGTAGACAAACTTGTCGACACAGCCTCGTTTTCTGGAGTTCCTCAACAGGCAGCAGTGAAGCCGTCACTGCACGGGGGTTGCTCTGCAGCTTTAATTAAGCTCACTGCATTTCCACTCTGCACAGTGGCAAGGCTTACAGTTCTCACGAGTGCAGCACTGCTGTTGTCATACATCATACCATAGCAATATAAAGACCACTGAGCGAAAGCCAGCCAAGGTTTATTTGCTCATGTGCACACATCAGGCTTTTATGATCCGCTCGTAACCGCTGGAGTTCATTTACTGATGATGTGATAACAAAGCCTTTATATATCAATAATAATGTTGGTGCTTCTACCTGTTTTAATTCTGCCCTTATCACTCTACTTGAAAAATAAGTTTAGATCATAGAGTTTTGCTTAGGCAAGTGGTATCAAACATGTGGCTCGTGGACCAGGAATCAGTCCGTTTTAGGGCCCATGGATGTCTTAGCCATGATATGCCATGTTTATTCAACAAGCTGACACTCATTTAATAAGAAGAAGTAATAATCTTTCTTGTTGCGCCTTCTTTGAGGCACTTTTTTTAACCTGAGCTTGTAATTTCAAAGTTAAAAAGAAATCTTCTTCCTATTAGACCAGATTTGCTTATATTGTATATAAATTAGCATTAGCATTACACTTTTTTTTTTTTTTTTTAGCAGTGGTGCAATAGAAACACAAATATAAAAGCATTGGGTTATTAAAGGGACACTTCAAATTGGTACTTGGGGGACACCAGTGATGCAGTAATCCACAGTACTTATTGCAAACACTGAAGTTTAAGTCTGACCATATCAACCTTTTTCTGACTGTTAAAAGTCTTTATTTATGCCTCACTGCTTCCGTCAGCTGCTATGAAATCACAGCAGTGATCTATAGACACACCTGCAGTGACTCCATCGTGTAGTGGGTTACACATTCAGTCCCCAGTCCAGTCTTGGGAGGAGACACAAATTCCTTTGGGGTTGTATCAGGAAGGGCATCTGTTGTAACATAGCTGATAGGAGCTTCTTGACATAGGCACAACTTCATGTTTGTTTTTTCCTACCAGCAGTAATTCATATTTTGAGTTTATTGTCACGACAGTATCAGTGCAGCCATC